CTTCTCTCCATCCAGTGTTTATGTCTCTGTCTTTATCCCTGTGAAAGGTATCAGGCGGAGGTCAATAATGTGTTGAGCACTATTGATCTGTCCGGTAGGTCCTACGAGCTCGAGAGGAAAGAGGGAAATGGAGAGGTAGGGATCAATGGGGTTCTGTATAGCCTATCTGCATACTGTGCGTTGCCACCCAATCAGAGCCTTAGTCTTTTGTTCTGTAATGGATTATTCATCAAACATCGTAAGTTTATAGTGAGTCCAAACAGCAAGCACAACACGATGCTCTCAAATGGATCCCAACTCTGAAGACATCAGAGTTGAAAGTCTTCGGCCCCAAAGTGGTTAAAGGATGTCTTTTTTCCAGATCTTTTGGTTTATCTCAGTTAAGTGTTTATAATCTGAATCAGAACGTGGAGTGGAGCCTATCTACTCGAAAGGAGATCGAAACCTACTTTCTGTAGACTTATCCAGATAACTTGAACATCACAAGAGCAGGCAAATGATTTCAATGAACTTATCTGCTTCCTAATTTTCCTGCTCTGAGGAGTGTTTTTGGTCAGAAACAAGAAGGACATTGGTTCATCTGCTAAATACATGAACAAATGAAGGAAACCACATTAAAAAATGCTCATTCAGATCCTCTCTTTGCTTCCTTTTGTAAATCATACATCGATTAAAAGATATGGAATCGCTTTGTAATTTGCATTTCTGAAACAAATACCTGCACACATCTAATTATGCGGATAAGTCTGCTGTAAAAGAAAAAAGAAAAAAAGAACTGTGGCACGTGACTGAGTGGGGAAAAACATGCCCAACAAGAGGGCTGTCAGTGGAAACAAATAAAGGAATTAGACAAGAAGGTAAAAGATTTAAGTTGTTTGTTAGTTGTCAGCTGAGACTACAATTTGGAAGAAGTACAAAGAAAACGGGAGGGTTCAATTCAATTTAATTCAGTTATATTTATGTAGTTTCACATCATAATAACTTTAATGTCTAGACACTTAAAAATTCTGTCCAATTCAAACTAAGTAGAATCCAATCCACTGTAAGCCAGTCAAAATCCAGTCACTTCATGCTCAGTAAATTCCAAAACCATCTCATTCATACAGAGCCAATAAAAGAAATAAAGCTTTCTTAGCTAAGGACACTAGCAGATGGCACAGAATCTGCTGGAACCTGCAAAAGAAACCACAAACAAATAAATAAACAGAAAATGGAATGCATGTCTACAACCAAAAGTTTAAGAAAGCGGTTGAAGAAAAGGGGGAAACAACTAGAAAAAGCACTCATAAACCAGCACTAATACCCAAAGAGAGGAAAGTGGGCTTACAGTGGGCTAAAATGAAGAGAAAGAAGGATTCTTTTTAGAAGATGAACTGACGTCCAGTGTGTTATCGATGTAGCTTCTCACTCGTCCAGGTCATGGTACTTCTTCTTGGATCTCCTTGGAGCTTCTTTTCTTTTCAATGCAAGGGAAAATCTCCCCTGCTCCGAGTCGGTCTGAGCTAAAGAGCTCTGCTTATATTTGCAGTAATATCTGTCACCGTTATGCCCCGGCCCACCCCACAAACACTTGATGGCATTGGTATCCAGGGAGCTTGTTGGCTGGGCCATTGCTTTAGGCCTTTTGTCTTCTCTCTCAAGTGGTGGAGCACAGAGTCCTGCAGGGAGAGGCTACAGACGAACGTCTCACAGTCTGTAGGTAGCTGCCTCCTGCCACACCACCGTCCGCACCAGTGACCGACAATTTAATAGATCTCGCTCACCTGACCGGTCCAGGGTGGCTTTGGTGTCAGCCTGGGTCCGTAGTGCAGATACTGTGATTGATACCGGGGTAACATTTAGGAACCTGTCGTGTGGAGCCGTGCCGCCTGGATGCTGTGACACAGGGATTGTGCGGCGCTGCAGGGGACGGCCATTAAAGCGGAGCTGACAGTTTAAACAGAGTAAATATTCCCAGGCATTTCAAAGGGGGTCCCGTGGGTTTTGTTGAACTTTCAGCTGCCTTCGCTGAAAGAATGGGGAAAACATATTCTTCTTATTCCTGCTAAATGTCAGGGATTAGGAGCCCCGTCACCGCTCTGCTCCGTTTTCCATCCTCCACCTTAAAAACCAGAATTGACCCCCCCAAAACAAGTACAAACTAATTATTGCTGCTGTCCTCAGGTCCTCTTGGACTTGTTTCTCTACATAAAGGCGCTCCTGTTGACCCTGCTCCTGAAGGTTCTTTCTACATTTGTTCGCCTACAGTAATATTTAGACATTTAAATTCTTATTATTTTTTTATTTTTTTCGTTCCTGGCTGTTTTTGTGGCCATATTTTACTGACAGCCCTCTACTTCGCTGTGTGGAGTCGAAATGGACAGGTTGATAAAGTGAGCGCTGTGCACCACCACAAAAACAACAAAAAAATCACTGTTGGATCCTTTTGTATTTCCCCAGGCCAGTTGGTTTTAATAAAGTCCAACTGCATAGGAAAAATCTACCTTTCCTTTTGCTAGTGGCAACTGTGCTCCATTTGCACACTTTTCAGTTGATTTTAAATTTCAGCAGGGGGAACTTTAGAATGCACGCGCACCGGGAACGTATCACGATAATAATCATGATCAAATCTCCCTCTTTGTTACAGTATCTCTTTGTTTTTGTTTTTTGGTGTTATTTTTTTTACTCCTCCTCCTCGTGCTCATTCTTTCCTCCTCTGTCTCACTCTTGTATCTTCTTGCTCACTCCCTCCATCTCACTCTCCTGCATCTTCTTATTCTCTCTGCGCTCCTGGAGCGGGGGATGCCAGGGGGACAGAGTGCAGATAGGACCTGTCGCCATAGCAACAGCTTCTGCAAGCTGCTGACACCCTACTGAGGGTGGGGGGACTGAGAGGAGGAGAGGTTGTGATAGTGAGGTATAGTACAAGGGTTGGGGCACAGGGTAGGTGTGTGTGTGTGTGTGTGTGTGCCCTTACCCACAAATGGGGTGTACGTGAGAGGGGAGGCAGTGAGTTTTTTTCTTTTCTTTTCTTTTTTTTTGTTGTTTCTGTTGTGAGTGTGTGCGTGCGTTTGGAAGGGGGGTGCCACTGATGGGATGAAAGATGGAGAGAAAACTCTACTGAAGAAGATGGGAGGGGGGACGGAGGGGGAGGGAAGGAGGCGGCCGACCCTGCTTCTTCCCCGGGGAATCAGTGGCCTGCTCATGTTCACGAGCAGAATTAGCATAAAGATGGGGGGAGGTGTGCGTGTGATTCCTCTTGTTTTTGTGTGTGTGTGTGTGTCTGTGTTCTGGTTACAGATAGCAGAAGAAGGGCAGAGAGTGTATTTGTGTACATGCGTGTGTAATTGGTCGATCGCCTCCTTGTCCAAGCATATAGTAAGTGTCACATGGACGCAGGGAGTCCGTTAGGTGTGTGCCCGGTGGATGGGTGGATGTTGAAGAGGGTGCGTTTGTGCGAGCGACTCCCTCCCCTGGGTCTTAAGCCCCTTCCCTGTTCAGGCCCGAAGCCTGCTGTCTGCCTCCCTGTACCAAAGAGCCACACTTTTTATGAGCCTGTGATGCAACTCTTTGTGTGTGAGCGCCTCTGTTCGTGTGGTTGGGTGCTGCTGGTGTGTGTTTGTTCCGGCCGGCTTATGTAAGCTCCCAGAACATGCGTCTCCTTCTGTGCGCGTTGTCAAGAATACAGTTATATCATATCTAACTCCCAGGCTGATTCATTCTCCCTCCTTCTTTTTTTCAGCTTGTTGTTTTATTTTCCACATTGTTTGACTTAAATAAAGGGGACCCCTGGTGTTACGTGTGTCGATGCGATGAGTGCCAGTCAAGAAGCTGCTTTCAAAAAGTTTTGGCGTTCCATGCGTCTGTTGCTCCAAACATTTCTGTCTGGGCTCCTGGCTTGGGTTTGACCTCGTCAAAGGATTGTAGGCACTGTGTTAAGGCATTAAATGTGAAATCTGATGTAAAAACCGACCAAAATCACTTGAAGGACAAATAAACTGAATACTAGAAAAAAATTACGGGGGAAAGTCTTCTCCTTAGACAGATCATTAATGAAGAATTTATTTTACTTTTTTCATTTTACTGTAAATAAGCTTCAAATTAATCAGAACTTTGCAGTTTTGGGGAATTTATTCAGTCATTAATTTATCTGTTATTCTTTTTGAAGTATAGAGATGGTTTTTTATTTAACCTTATTACAGAATTCTGATTATTTTTAAGTTTAATGCTGACTTCCATTTACTTAAATGAAAGCTTGGAATGCAGACAGAGACCAACAAAACATCTCTTTAACCTTTAGATACAATCATTTACTTAAAAACTTGAATTAAATAGCTTTTTAAAAATGTTGTCATTAACTAATTGAGGTTAATACAGTTATTTAAATGTATATGTATTCATTTTTAATTAAGTAAATCAGGACCCTTTCAGGTTGTTACTTGTATTTGGAACAATTCTGTAAAATCACAAAGAATTCATATAAAAGTTCCACATTGTTTGTATTGCTGTCCAGTCCAGATAGCAGGGACTCAGATTCTCACCATAGCTGAGAAGTATGAAAAAAATAAAATGAAATAAAGAGCAGCCAGTCACACACAAAAAGAAAAAGAATCAATAAAAAGTGGGGAAAAGTAGATGAATTCGACTTGATGCTTGCCATAAAAACTTTTTTCCTCTGTATGCAGTATTGCGATGGCATTGATCACAGTTGTGGTGCAGCACTTCTCTTTACAGCTTGGTATCAGTGAAATTTTTCTGAATGTCTCTCCCTCTGGGCTCATGAAAAACATTCTGCTGGTATTATACCCAGAACCCGTCCTCTGTCATCCCGGTGGTTAATGTCCTTCTCCCCTGCTCCTCCATTCTGTGAGGTGACTCTACAGTTAAGAAGACACATTCAAAGATTGAAGATAGTTTTTTTCTTTTTTCTTCGTTTTTTTTGTCTTGAGGAAGGGAATGGGGAGGGGGACAATTTAGATTTTTCTATGCACACACTGCCCCCTGTAGTAATTTGCCAGCCAATGCATAATCCGTACGAACATAAAGCCAGAACCCAGCGAGATCCTGACTTGTTTAACTGCGGTTCCTTTGTGTTGCAGAGTGCAGCGGCAGCCCCCAGCCCGGTGATGGGCAACATGCCCCCCAACGACGCCATGCCAGGCGGTCCTATGCCCCCAGGTTTCTTCCAGGTATGACCCACCCCCGACCTCCATCAGCCCCACACCTTCTTCCCTCTTTGGCCATGCCTCTCTGCTGTCTCTCTCCTTCATTCATTTTGAACACCTGTAATGTGTTGTTCCCATGTACACACCCCACATCTTTCCAACTAAAACCAACCTCATTCCCCACTTTCAACAGGTGAATAGGATTTTTTGTTTTGTTTTAAAGGGATTTTCCAAAGCCAATCTTTATCTTGAAATTTTTACATTTTATGGTATTTTTGAATATTTATCATGATTTGGGGGAAATGGGATGATAATAATGTATAATCAGACACACATTTACCACATTTTGGAATGAAGACTGACCCAGTGTGAACATCATCTCCAAAAATGAATTTCCAGTCAGACTCTGCTAATTAAGAATTTTAATATTAGGAGATAATCTAATTATCTGACACGTCAGATATAGTTTGGGCCTCACTTACCTCTTTTTTCAGACATTTTCCCCCACTTCTTATGTTTCCGGCAAGCAGTGTCTCTGAGGTTCTCCGCCCATTCATCTCAGCTCAGCTCAGCTCTCTCAGGGCCGATTACAACCTGTTTATGATTCAGCCATCCCATATTCTCCATACTCTCCTCCACCCCTCCATCTCCATCTCCATCTCCGTCTGTCTCTGACCCGTCCCGGCTCTGTTAGGGGAAAGCGTTTTAGTGTGGGAGATGGCTGTCTGAAGAGTGGAGAGAGTGAGACGCACACTGCACAGCATAAACAAACACAAACAGGCATGCGTACGCACGCTCGCAAACAAAAAAGGCACGCTCTCACACCACAAGGCAGCGGCGTGATGGACAGCAGTGGCATTTGGCAGGAGGCACGTTAAGGTGGTGGCAAAGAGTGGCAGCGAAACGGCAAGTGACGGCATTGAGAAGGGGAGGTAGAAGAGAGGGAAATGTGAAAGATCATTACCACCAACTCTGTTACCCCGTGTGTGTTTTATGTGGCTACCCACCACCACATTGTTTGCCGGTGCAGTGCTGGGGAGGGGGCAAGTGACTGTATGAATAAGCAAAGGGAAGGGTGGAGAAGAAGGGTGACGAGAGACGCTTGGAAATGCTATTTTTACCATTGGTGGGGGAGTGAGATTGGGCGAGAGTTTGTGTGCGTCTCTGTGTGCGTGTGTGAGACTGTTGTGTTCAGGAACCTGTTTGTTAAATAGAGCTGTGGTTGTTCACTGCAAATAGGATCTGCTCTCATCGTTTGGGCCGAATGTCGTCATTAATGCCACGACGGCCCCTTAACAGTTCTCTGCTGCGCGCTGTGTTTTTCTTCCATCCATTTTCTGAACCATGATTCCCAAATGGGGTCGTGGGGGGACTGAAGCCTATCCCAGTATTCATTGGGCGAGAGGCGGGGTACACCCAGGACGGTCCCGCCAGTGTTGTTTTTCTTCCTCTTTTCAATTCAAACTCTAAACGTTGAAAATGGTGAAACACATGCAGACACGCTGGAGCCTGATTCATCCAAGTATAAATAAGATGAGGTCAAGGCAACAACTGCAAGCATAATTAGCTGATTAATTTTTTAACTAATTAATTATGATGTAGGTAGGTAACGATAGCTAGCATTGTTGGCTGATTTGTAAACAAATAAAAACAAGACGTATCCTTCCTGTAAAACACCATCTCTTACACCTCAGTAAATGCTGAAAGTACAAAGTCCAGTTGGAATGTTTTTGCACACTTCAGATTGTTCATTTAAAGGCATTGTTGTTAAATGATGTGCCGTCCTTATATTGCACAACGTGAGGTTCAGTGATTAAAAAACAAACAAACAACAACATTGTTTTCCTCTTGTTTTTATTATTTAACAGTGCACAACGGTATGTATGTTCAGCTCTAATAAGGGTTTGCCTGCACTGAGGTTAATCACGTGGTCAGCTGTATTGAACCATCCACAAACGGAGAGAAAACAGACCCTCCGCCATATTTCTAACGTTTCCTCCCCAGAGAGAGGTGGCAGCGTCATTTCCTGGAATTCAGCAAACAAGCTTATTCAGTGTGCTGGATTGACTGGTTTACATTGCCTCGGGTTGTGTTGTGCAAGCAATTTTAGGCCCAATTGATAGCTGTACCACCATTTTTGCTTGTTTTTGCAATCATTTATCTGACTAAATTAGTTGGATCTGCTGGGGAAAGTTTGTTGTTTGTTTGTCTTTGTGCATTTTGATGGTTTAAGGACAACAAATGTCTTGTTTTGTGTACTAAAGGTTGGAAGTCCACATTATTCTGTTAACACATGAATAGTTGCAAAGCCTGACTTATACGTTAAAGCAAACATAATAAGCCTTTATTGAAAGGTGGACTGTTTTGAAGCAAGTCAGGAAGCAATATTTAGGGACTGCTGAGCCTCTACTTCAGCTTTAAAAACATAAGTATAGGCATGTACAGTATGTGGAGGCTACTGGGGCACACGTCACCCACCTGAACACCAGTGCACTGCACTGACCCAAACCTGGCCCACAGACCCACGAAAGCCCCCCCCCCCCCCCCCCCCCCCCCGAATTTCCCACCGCACATCTTTCTGGAACCATGTCTGAAAAGCTCCAGGAGGCTCCGGTGCAATGTTGGACAACTGTGAACGTTCCGGCTGACCATTGCACGCTCCGCTGATGTATCAGCGGAACATTCCCAACTATAAACCCAATATTTGATGTCAGTTTTTGATAAATAGCTGTCCGACTGACCGTGTAAAACAGTCTAAACTAAATCAGGCTCTTGCTAAAGAAGTGATTGTAATGATTAATCAATTGAAGTAGTTGCTTTATTTGGTGTTGGTCAGCTAATCGCTTAGCCGACTGACCTTGGCTCACCTCTTGCACTCACACATTACGACCATCTCAGAGGAGCACTGATATTTGATACACTTGCTTACAGAACAGGTGTTAATGAGTTGAAGTGAGGATATGAATAGAATGTGAAATGCTTTGACTTCACGTCTCTTTCTCTGGAGTGTGTGCAATCACAACTCGGATTTTACTTTGAGACAAATGTCAGTGGGTTTGTTCTGTCAGAACTCGGCTCCCAGACTTACCGTTGGTAATCAATGTGTTGTCTTTGTCTGTGTCCGGATGCCTTGGAGGGATAGGTGGAAAATTCCATTAACCGTTTTGTGAATCGGCCGCCTTTGGTTTTTCTCGGACAAATGGAAAAAAAGGGGAGAAAAAGTAAGGTACTAATGACAGAGATGCTGACGGAGGACGAGGAGAACAAGGCTGTTGCGCAGTGACTCACTCCTTAAAGGTTGTTAACCTCTTATCCTGGAGCGGGAAGTTGGCACTAATACAGTGGCCTGCTGGAGAAGTGGTCAGTTTGTCCACAGGGGCTTGATTTTTGTCAGGAAGTTTGCTCCTGATAAGGATACAAATTCTCCAACTTTTTTTCTCAAATCATCTCTGTTTTGAAGTTTCTCCTTGAGCCTTACTTATGTTCACGAGCCTTTGGTAACACTGCCCTCATGTGGTCCAAATGGAGATAGAATCCCATAACCAGAGGGCCCCAGTGTCTTTCTCCATTAGTGTATTTACACTGTAGTAAGACCGTCCTGTGAGAAGGGGACGCTTGATTCTGATTTCTACCCGTAGAAATGCAAAAAGAAGTATTAAGAATCTATTTATTTATGTGGACAGGGTTGTTTTTATCGTCAGCTTTAGGAGGATTTACCCCCAAAATGTCCTGCGTTTTTGCTTCTCCTACTTCTCTAGTCCCCCCCCCCAAAAAAAGATCATATACTCACCTACCCTCTCCTATTAGTTTAATAGGGTAATTCCTTCAGGTGTAACCCCCCCACACACACATTTTGCCCCCCTCCCCTCTCTGATGTCGCTCTTCTTTCTTAAAGGGACCGCCCGGCTCTCAGCAGTCCCCCCACGCACAGCCCCCCCCACACAACCCCAGCAACCCCATGATGGGACCCCATGGCCAGGTAAGAGGCGAAAGCTTTCTCTCAAACACCCCTATTACCCTGACTCCCTCACCCACTCTCCAGCCTTTTATTCCCATTCACTACTTGGACACTTTCTTCTTCTCCCTCTCCTTCTCCTTCTTCTACCCTTGAGCCCTGCGAGCTCTGGTTTAGATCCGGCTGACTCCCCATAGACGTTAGCCCCTCCAGTTTCGAGCTCCTTTTTATGAAAGCTGAGCATCCAGAGGCAGCGGGGCCCGCTCCTCGTCAAGGCCAAGAATCAGCTGTCCCTGTGCGGGATGAATAATTCACTCCCTGCCCCTCCCCCGGAGCAGCTTGTGGGGGGGTTGCACACTTATCTTCTCCTTCACTCTTAACGCACACATGCATGGGTGCACCCCCCACCCTGCTTACTTGTTCTTGCACCTTATAAATAAAACACAAGACAAGCGGGATAATCACGTCACAAATGGGCACAGAACGCACGGGTCCAGCGCCATACTCGATGCTCTCTACACAGAAAGAACCGCGGTTTGGGCTGCCGAAGCCTCCAAATTTGTGCATATCGATACACGTGAAGGCTGAGGAACTTTCCTCCTGAGTGTGTGCGTGCTTCAACACTTGTCCAGAGCAGTAGCTCCCGATGCCAGCGTAGAGGGAGACCGAGCCGTAGACCATTAACTGTGGCAGCTCCGCTCTTCATTCTTGTGGTTTCTGGTTTCCGTCCTGCGCGCCATAGAGTGTGGACATGCTTCCGCTAAGGTTTTGAGCAGTGTTGTTGGCCTGAGGTGTCTCCGACTACGCCAGGCAGACCACAGCCCGAGTCGCCTTACACTACAGTGAGAGCAGGCGAGCCGTGCACGCACTCTCACACAGCTCATGGTTTCAGTGTGTATCGTGTTAAAAAGCTGGCTTTTAGAATCATACGGTTTAAACCAGGTCATTTATCTGCTGGATTGCTGAACAGATTTGGAGCTGAATTGCTAGCTTTTGGGTGTCATCCTCCATTCTCCACTGTGTCCATCTCTGTGTTCCCAGTGCTGCTTCCCATTGAGTGACTTTTGGATTTATCAATAATAGAAATGTCTTTTTTTTCCCCCATGTCCTTCCTTAATCCCCCCCCCCCAACCACTTTCATCTCTTCCTCCTTCCATTTTTCTCTGCAGCCTTTCATGTCACCGCGATATCCAGGTGGGCCGCGCCCCTCACTCCGAATGCCAAATCAGGTACTTAAAGCTTTGGATCAATTTCATGCTGAAACTGACAACTCTCTTAGCCATTTTCCTGTATTTTTTAACTTGGTTTCTTGTCTGCTCTCTTCCCAGCCTCCTGGGGGAATCCCAGGATCTCAGCCTCTCCTGCCAAACAGTCTGGACCCAACAAGACCGCAAGGTAAGTCAGCGGCGTGTGTCCAGCGTGAGGGGGATTTGTCTGAATGTCACTGTGAGTGCTTTTGCACATTCAATGTCGTTGTTGATATGAATTATTATTAAATCAAGACAAGAACAGTCTTTTGTCATTTATTTCTAGTCAGTATATTGTTGTTGAGAATCCTCTATTGTCTGTTGTGTCAAATCTAAATTATGCCGTGAGTAATGGGAAAGTATATGTAGCACCACGTAAGGCTGGAGAGGCACTAATGAACACCCCCACTTTGTTTCTTGCATGAGTCAAGATAAAATGTGTGACTTTGCACAAGTGTTTATTAAGTCAGGTTGTGGATCTGTTCTTGCAGGACATCCCAACATGGGTGGACCAATGAGAATGAATCCTCCCAGAGGAATGGCCATGGGCCCACAGGTAAAGATGAGTCTGTGTGCTGTGTTCTCCATGAATAATTATGAACAATCAAAGCAAGTCGTAACAATGTAACTCCATAAAACAGGATCTTTTAGTTTGTCTATCCTGCTACACACTTCTATGAGAGCTTGTTTTCATTTAAATAAAAGTATTTTTTTTCTTCAAAATCAAGGCCAACTGTTTTAAGCTCTTAAGAAAAATTTGATAAAGAACGTTGAATTTTCTGACATGGCTCCTTTGTCTTTCATCACTCAGAATTATGGTGGCATGAGGCCTCCTCCAAACTCCATGGGTGGTCCCATGCCAGGAATGAACATGTAAGTGTTGTGTGGAGCCTGATTGTTTCGTATGTTTCTGGATAGCTGCAGACTTGTCCTGTTTTCCCTGCTCTGCTTCCTGGCAGAACTTCTTATTGTTAATTCAGCTTGTTGGGAAAGAGTAGAACCATCCATGGTCGACACTGTTCAGTCGTAGCTACACCTCTGCGCTAATGACGCATTGTAGTTATTGTAGTGTGCCGGACGTACTCTGACCTCCCGCCTGAAATTTCAGTGCCATAGGCTTATATGTGTCTTTTTTTTTTTCTCTCAGGGGTCCCGGAGGAAGGGGGCCTTGGCCAGGCCCTAATGCTAACTCGGTGAGTCAGAAGCTTTACATGCATACACTGAACCCAGAGATTGCTGGTGGTGGTAAATTAGAAGGAACACCTGGGAAAATTAAAATCACAAGCTTTTAGAAACAAGTTTCCCCCTCCCCATTCTCAGTCTGTTTTTAATCAACTGGTATTGATAACCATGGAATGACCCTCAAATATTTGTTTACCCCTGTCCACTTTGCAGATAGCATACTCTTCTTCATCTCCAGGAAACTATGTGGTGAGTTCAACTGTATGAACCAGAGGCTGTTGCTCAGTAGGTGCTGTGATTTGTGTGGGGGTGTTTTAAACCGTCATCCTTGTTTGTTTCTCAGGGTCCTCCAGGCGGAGGAGGTCCACCCGGCACCCCCATCATGCCCAGCCCAGGTGGTGCGTCACCTAACTGTGTCCCCAGCACTAACACTTGTCTCCGAAATAAATGTCTTTCCCATTTTTCCACACTAAACATGCATGAATGTGTCCCACCACTCAGCGTGTTTGTTGCTCTCCTACCTTAAAGTGACCGAGAAGTTCATCCCTCTGATTTGTTTCTGATTATCTGTTGGCATTGTCTTTCCCTTAGATTCGACTAACTCCAGTGAAAACATCTACACGATGATGAATCCTATTGGGCCGGGAGGGAACAGACCCAATGTGAGTCTTCATGGGATTCAGTTGAGATATTTAACAAAGAGTTCTTAGTTGTTGCCTTGAAAGTTGGGTTTGGAGGCCTTGCTTAAGTTTTTGATATTACACATTGGTTTTCTTAATGATTTCAAAGAATGGGATTAATTATAAAAGGCACATGAACCCATCTTATTTTCTCTTTGAGAATGGACCAGAAAAGAAGGAGGTAGTGAATTAAATCCTCTCTGCCTGGCCTCCAAGATGAAAAATGTACAATTTCACATTCTCTCACTAGTTCCCTATGGGGCCGGGGCCAGATGGGCCAATGGGAGCTATGGGAGCCATGGAACCACACCACATGAATGGATCACTAGGTGGGTGTAAGCGCAGAGCGCATCAGCAAAACATACTGCCTGTTGCATATTGCATTCATCTCATTTAAAATCGGCTTAGAGAATCAAGATTTTCTTCTTTTGCCTCTTCAGGGTCTGGGGATATGGATGGGTTGCCAAAGGTTGGTCTCATCTAATTTGATCTGTTTTCAGAGAGCCAACAATGGCCAGAGCTTTCAGATTCTCTCCTCTCCACACTGCCACGTTGCAGCCAGTAAAAGGCTGATAATCCATTTGTTTTTTGGCCCTTTTTTTCCTCCAGAGCTCTCCTAACAACATGGGTGGCATGAATAACCCTCCCGGAACGCCGCGGGATGACGGCGAAATGGGCGGCAACTTCTTGAACCCATTCCAAAGCGAAAGTGTAAGTAGAGTGTGTTAATGGCATCTCACAACCCTTAACAGTTATCCTTTCTCTCCGGACTCCTCACATAAACCAGTGGAAGAATGCAAGCAGAGGGTTAGGCTAAATATTCAGATCTGACTCGGAAAAAAGTGTGTCCTGTCCCTTTTTGTATTTGATCGTAAGTCCTTTGTTTTTGCCATGTCAATCAGTCCTGACTGGCTGTTAGTTAGTAGCAGGAAAAAAGAGAACTTTATTTGATCATGTTCACAGTTTGACACAACACATGAGTTTAGTTTAGTTTTATTTCGCTAACATGTACTTCGCCTTAGGAATCAAGCAGAGGTGTGTAGAGCACAGTTTTCCATACAATATCCCTGTATGTATGTGTATACATACATACATACATACATACATACATACATACATACATACATACATACATACATACATACATACATACATACATACATACATACATACATACATACATACATACATACATACATACATACATACATACATACATACATACATACATACATACATACATACATACATACATACATACATACATACATACATACATA